AACGTTTGCCCTCCCCAAGGACCTCAGAGCTGGACCACCTGTGTTGGAACTCAACACTGGCAACTGAGCAAGTCACTGAGCCTCAGTTGCTCCATCTGCTAAGTGGTAATCCGCAGAGCTGTGAGGTGTTAGTGAATCATCACGTATGTGCCTGGCACGTCGTAAGGGCTCCGTGAACGTGCTCACCCGTCTCCTATGGAGGCCTGTGCTACGCTCACCACCCAGCCCTGCAATGATCCGACTTCCTCCCCAGACAGGGAGCTCCTCGAGACCAGTGACTGAATGCACACTACATGCTACGTGCTGTATTAACTGCTTTTCAATGCATTTTAGTAGCTACATTTGTTTTTGACTTATTGCCAGGCAGTTGGGTAAGCATTTCACATATATTATCTATTTAATTCTCACAAGAGCCTAATCAAGTTGCTGTTATTATTATCTCCATTTCACAAGGCAGACTGAGGTAGAGAGAGCATTCAAGTGATTTGTCCAAGGTCACACAGTAAGTGATAGAAATGCATTTCCTTTTCTATTTGGTGAACTCCTACTTAACCTTCAAAATCCCATGTAAATGTCCCTTCCTCTGAGAAACCTTCCCTAACTTCTACAGACAGGGTCCTTGGCCCTTCTTTGGTATACCCTCTACCTCCCTCGATCACAGTTTGGATCACTTTGCATTATTAATTGATTCAACAGTGTGTCGAGTGGCTTCTGTGTTCCAGGCACTGTGGCAGGGGCTTTGAACAATGAACAAGTGAACAACAAACAAATCAAAGTTCTCAGGGATGGTGCTTGGGGAGAGACAGATCATAATCAAGTACACAAATAAATCATCTCAGACATAACAAATACTGCAAAAGGAAGAAACACAGCAGTGTGGTCGGTGACTGTGGGAGGGACGCTCGCAAGAGCCTCACAACTGGTGTTGGGTGGACCCAGGGCAATCTGGGAAGGCCTCCTTGAGGAGGTGATCTGAATGACAGGAATGCTAGGCCTGCCAGTCTCTCAGACCTGACTAGCCGCTCCTTGAGGGTAGGGCCTCCTGTGATTCATCAACAGGGCTTGGGTCAGGAAAGGACTCAGTAAACATTTGGGGAGTGACTAAAGGAAGGGGTGAATGAATTGTCTTTGAAAATTGAGTTTTCGAGTTGCCACCTACTTCCCTTCTCATCCTTGGATGACAAAGCCCGCTGACACGGCTGACTGGCACTTCCTGGCGCTTCCTGTGTGTGCTAAGTGGGGCACAGGAAGAGACGATGCCTGAAGTCTGATAGTCATGCATCGATCACCTCATGTGTACCAGACACTGTAGACCAGTCTTCTGTGAGCTCTGCCAGTGTTGTGCGTAGACATTAAGCCCCAGCACCCAGTGTATTTAAAAAAAAAAAAAAAAATGCTGTGAAGTTGATCCCTACACATGGTGACCCCGAGTGTTTCAGAGTTGTTGTTGTTGTTATGTGCTGTCGAGTCGGACCCGACTCATAGCGACCCCTCCTTGGGTTCCCGAGGCAGTATCACTACGGAAGTAGACTGCCCCATCTTCCTTCCAAGGAGTGGCTGGTGG